TGTGGGGAGGGGAGGGTTCTTGCACATTTAACAGTTGTGTAAAATAGGAAGCCCTGTTGTTTTTCACTTGAGCACTGACTGTGTCCAAGGTGTACCAGAAAACAGACTGGAGGAAATTCAGGCCATGTGGCAGCCCTACCTTTCCTTCACAATAAATACATTAAGGAATAGATTAAACAAATGAAAGAGGAATGGGAAAAGCAACCCTAAACTCACAGAACAGCAAAGCTCAAATCTTGCTGCCCAGTATTTTATGCACAAAATTCAGTATAACGAAGAAATGTGTAGAACTGCCACAAGAGGGAGCTAATGCATAATAATTGAACGGATATGCAGCATTCAAGTCAGATTTGTGCAGAAGAACTCCATGGACTTTCAGACGGGATTTTGTAGATGTGCAAGTCAGTGTACTGTAACACATTTCTCCTTTTCTCTGCCCCCCCCAGCTTTCCTGGCTGCTTATAAGTAAGAGTTTGTTACTTTTTGAATTAATAACAGAAAATAGAAATTATTTTAAGGGTGAGTTTTTACAGAAAACGAATATAAGAAAAGAGTAAGTAATCAAACAGTCAGGAAGCAGACGCCTGTTGGGTTAGTTTGAAATAATAATAAAACATTATTTCAAACAAAAAACACTATTTGCCTTTTTTTTTGTAAACTGTTTCTTATTACTCGCTAGAGATGTGTAGGGATAGGATGAGTAGGGGGAAGTATGTGGGGGTGGGAGGGCTCTGGCCCGTCATATCTCTAGCTGCTCCTAAGTATATGATGCAATTATTTAAACATATAATAGTCTGCAGATAAAATAAATAAATACAATACTGTATGCATTTCTTCATTTCCCCATTTTAAAACGTCTCAAACTTTTAAATTGCCAAGTACAAAAGAAGAAGATGTCTGCATCAATTAGCCTCTTTTTAGCATGGTTCATTTCAGAAGGGGATGCCTTCAAATTTTGCAATTCTGGCAAATAATAATAATATACATAGATTAAGATTCCTATCATAGCCAGTGATGAAGGCTTTGGAAAATGAGACAAGTTGAGGTTCTGTCTTCTAAGCCAGAGCATGATGTCAGTCCAGGCCTCCTTGCAAACAAGGCGGGTTCTGAGGAATATAAATATATATTGTTTTGAAGAGTGCTGCCAGATAATATGCTGACGGCATTCCACTGTAGTTGCAAGCATGTGAAATCTCAACAAAGAAAACACCCCTTTCATGCCTCTAGGCTACCCAGTACTGATTGTTCTCACAATTCTGACATGTATAGAAATGAGAAAAATTCCTCTAAGCATGCAGTTGCAATTGGAGATCTGTGATGGAAGAAATTAAAACAAAACCAAATGTAAACTAAAATGTAAAAGGAAAAACACAGCATGCTGCCATGAAATGTCACAATAATAAGCCTCAAGGCCTACAAGGAAAGATGTAGCATTAAAGGCTATGAACACATTAGGCTCTAAAAACAGTTTGATGTTGTCTTCCTGCTCCCCCTCCCTTCACCGCATCATTTCAAGTAGCATCACGTTGCTGTACAGACCGGGGGGGGGGGGGGCGATGTCTTCAGTCGATGCACATCACCCAGTGCTGAACTCTATATCACTGAAGCTGTCATCTGCACATGTTCAATGGCTGTCTCTGACGTACACACCTCAGGTTAACTGTGGTTTCCATTTTCTAATCAGTTGGAAGCTGGTTTGGGGGAAAATACATCAAAAGCAGTATTTCTCAAGAAGCTACAGGACAGATATGGATTGCAGCTAATGCCATGTATATTCAGCGTCAAACACCAACAGCGGAAGCATGCTGGAACATATAAGTGGTAATATATACACAGTCAAAATATGACTTCTTTTACAAGCTAAAAATATTCTTCCATTTCCTTAGGAGGGAAAATGTGACCACACTTTTTACTATATTTTTGATACACCTTCTAGCCAGGAGGCCAGATAAGATTGCTTTGGGTTCTTAAGGGATGATGGCTTAAAAACACATAATGAAGCAACTTTGCTGAAGTAGAGCAGGTTTGGGATGGTAAATGTACTTACATCACCTCAGTTTATGATGGTAGAAAGGCAGAATATTATTATTATATATATTTTTTAAAAAGACAGAATATAAAAAAAGGGAGAAAGCAAAGTGTATGCTCTGGAACAGGAAACTTTCACTTGAACACGGAATCCTTTTTGAAGTTCGTAAAACTAGACCACATACTTAAGGAAACTCGTAGAAATAAAAGTAATTAATAATGGTTCATTCATTAAAATGAAAGTAAACATGAACTTTCAGTTCCATTGGCAAAGTTCAAATTATTTTGAATGAGCTCTTGGTACACTTTTTTTAAAAAAACATACAATGGTACATTATAAAGAGGCTGTTTTTATTCTGAAGTACAGTATGACTGAAGAAGTTGGCTCTTAATACACGTACAGTGTTTGTTTAGTTTCTGATTGAAGCAATAAGGATGGGCACTAGAGCAGTACTTAAGGGCTTGTGTAGTTAAATCATAATGCAGCTGCACGTTATTAAACTGCAAACTCTATGCTAGAAAAATGGTCTGTTTGTTAAGAAAGTTGGATCACTGCCTAAATAGCACTTGGTTCCTTCTGCTGCTGCCCTTTTTCAACTCCTGATTTTATTTTGAGGATAGATAATGCTAGGTGTACCAGCCTTCCTTAACCACTGAATAAGTGCTCACTTATGGCTTATGTGTGTGGTACGGAAGCTGTACTACCCAGGACAGGATGGGGTTGTGCAGGGTTGTTAAGGCAGCAGAGAGCATTGTTGGCTGCCCACTCTCTACCTTAGAGCAGATTTATGCCACAAGGTGCCATAGGAAGGCACTGGACATAGTAAAAGATCCATCGCATCCTGGTCACTGTCTCTTCGAGCTCTTGCCGTCATGACGGAGATACAGGACGATGAAGACAAGAACGAGCCGTCTTAAGAACAGCTTCTTCTCCAGAGCGATCTCGGCCCTGAATGGGAAGCCCGGACTTTGAATGTCATCTAATCTCCCTTGCTATATTATACTGTATTGATTAATTAGTGTTTTTATGGAGCAGTCAAGTAATTTCGTTGTCCCCGAAGGGGGCAATGACAATAAAGATATTATTATTATTATTACTATTAAAATGTGACATATCTACTTTTTCATTGTGTAGCCAAATGAAACATGTGAATTCCATACCAGTACTGTATTATTATTTCCTACTCTAAGTTCATTCTCAACATAACAGAAAGCAGGTTAGGTTATTGCCAGTTTGAGTGGGGGAGGGGAGCAGCAGTTGTGGCCCACAGTTGTGTGTAGTTGCGGCACTGAGGTAATCTTCCATCTTTGATGCAGCCAGGGAAGGACATCATTTCCTCATTCACCAGCTGCACTGGCTGCTGGGGCTTGCCTGGTTGAGGTCAATCGTGGGTGAGCCTGGGGTGCTGTTTAGGGAGTGGTCTAGAAGGAAAGCTTCTTTCTTCTGGCCTGTTCCCTGGCTATAAAAGTCAGCTGTACCCAGGCTTCAGTCTCACCCAGTCAGCCCTGGATTCTTCACCTACCCATCCCATGCTTTATGTGTAGGACTGCCCAAGGGTGAGCAAGCAGGCGCTGCTGCGTAAGATCTTGCTATGGAAGCCTTCAGTCACTCTGGAATTTAGCTTCAGACAAATTAGGCTCATCTGGGGTTTTGCCTACCTCATATCATTTATCACAACTTGAGAGTAGGGCATGTCCCTACTCTCCCTCCCATACAGTTGTCAACCACATGGAATAGGGCTCCAGTGACAGGTAATTTGGGGCATTGTTCTCTTGGAAGTAGATGGAAGTGTTATAGACAACACATAACACCCATACTCAAAAATCTGGATTGGCTCTTAGGATCTGCACCAGCTGAAATGTCTGAATAGTCTTCCAAGGCAGTCCCAGGAGGACTGCGCTGCAGTAGTCCATGCCGCAGTTACAAAATAATGTATTACAGCTGGTTCCTGGGGAACAGGCACAGCTGGTGGTGAAGTAGCTGAAGCTTGCAAAAGGCATCTCTACCTTAGGAGCAAACATAAAAAGTAATTGATGGCAACAATGTTTAATATACAGTCACACCTTGGGTTGAAGTAGCTTCAGGTTAAGTATTTTCGGGTTGCGCTCCATGGTGACCCAGAAGTAACAGTGCGTTACTTCCAGGTTTCACCACTCGTGCATGCGCTCAAAATGACGTCACGTGCATGTGCAGAAGCAGCGAATTGCGACCCGTGCACACATGGGTTGCGTTCGTTTCAGGATGCTAACGGGGCTCCGGAACGGATCCCGTTCGCATCCAGAGGTACCACTGTATGATTATTTTGTACGTTAGCAAGTGTATTTTGTTTTCTTAGCATGAGTTTCTCCACTTCAGGTCTACTTGCTCCATAGATGTGAAGCATGCTGAATGCTAGAAAGTAAACGGACAGAAGTCTTTTGTGAAGAAAGAAGTGTTGGGGACTGAGCTGCTTGAAAGAATAAAAATAGTGGAAACGGTGAGCCGATCTGATGAGCCTTTATGATTCTAACACTTGCGACGTACTTAGTAACAAAACAAGACAGGGCAGGAGTCGTCAGCCTATAGGAGAAAGCAGCAGCACTGTATCGCCAGCTGCTTACTCCCGCCAGTATTTACGAAGGAAAAAGGGATGACGGGAAGTAAGAAAGGCAGGGAAAAGGGTGTCGTAAAATGAAGAACTTTGAAAATGGCGACTCCGCCCAGCCAGCTAGCTATGTGTTTGCAGGGCTCTGGAAGCTCCTGTTCTTCCGTACGGAGCGCGCCGTCTGATGCGGAGCTGCCGCCGGTGCCTATTTATCACGGCAGAAGCATTCAACCTGCCACAAGAAAAGGACGCCGGAGAGAACGGCTCCTTAATACACGGCTCGTAAAGTTAGCATTTGTAACCCTATCCCATTCCATTCCCGACATTTCACCTACTTTTGCCCCCTGCCTATCCATCTCCTGCGCTTGCCCGCTTTTCTACGGAGAGATGTCTTTTAGGTAATGTATAGGGAAGCCATTGGCAACTACGGGCCGGCAGCTGCCACGGGCGAGCCTGCTCAACGGGACACTTCCCTGCTCTTAGCTGGGGAGTAGAGGGAGGGAAGCCCCTTCGTCGCGTCGCTTTTCCTATGGCGGAGCCCGCGCGCCTCAAACGAGCTCTCGCTAGATGCTTAACGCAGAGAGGTTTCCGGACCTGCGCGCGCATCTGGAGCTGGGTTGCCCCGCCCCCCTGCCCCGATCAACCCACAAAGGGAAAGCAATAAAGTATCGTGAGATTTGGGCCGTCTCGCGCGGGGACGGAGGGGGGGGCCCCAAAATTTAAACTGGAGACCTGGCGGATCTTTCTGTTGCTTCCCCAGCAGCCGGAACTGGGGACGTTTGCAAGGAGACGCAGGTGAGCGGCAATTGAGAGGGGGCGAGAGGAGTTTATTTTCTCTTTCTTTCCGTTTGGCTTTCCTGTTTCTCTGTTTGCTGAGGGAAATGCTTGGCGGGTGTGGGGGTTATAGAGAGGGGCTGCTGTGTGGAAGGATTATCAGAGGAAGGATTCTCCCACCACCCCCGCTCCTCCTTCTGTCTCTGCCTTTCTCTAGGAAACCCTTTTGCGATGGTCGCCAACGGCTTTTTAAAATGGTCCTGCTCTTGAGTTTTCAGTGGCGCGAGTTGAGGTGAAACACCCCGACCCAATTGTATCTCTGTTCTGGGGAGCGGGGAGATCCACCTGCTGAATTTAGTGCTAAGAGGCTTTCTTCACTTCTCCTCCCGTAGGCTGCTTCAAAGCAAATGAAACACAGGGATGCTCTTCACTCTTGTCTTTTTCCACATCTCTGCTCAATTATCCTTTCCTCCACTCGGTTTCCTCAACTTGCTTCCTTGAGTGGCGCCTGAGCCACTTGCCTTTCTTTTTAATAATATTTTATTAATTCCCCCAAAATAACAAAAAATAATAACAAAACAAATTGACTTCCCTCTAATCCCTTCCTTAGTTCAATAATTTATCAAGATAGTGCATGTCCATTGTTAAGTTTATAACATATTTAAATAATGTATTATCCATTCATAATAACATTACAAGTAAACTTAAAACCCTGCTAATGTATTGACCTGTGTACATTGCCTCTGTATATACAGTGGTACCTCGGGTTAAGTACTTAATTCGTTCCAGAGGTCCTGAAACTGTTCTTAACCTGAAGCACTACTTTAGCTAATGGGGCCTCCCGCTGCCACTGCACCACCGGAGCACGATTTCTGTTCTCATCCTGAAGCAAAGTTCTTAACCTGAAGCACTGTTTCTGGGTTAGCGGAGTCTGTAACCTGAAGCGTATGTAACCTGAAGCGTATGTAACCCGAGGTACCACTGTATACAATAAACATTTTCCATTCTTCCTTAAATTCATTATCTTCTCTTCCTCTTAATTTCGTAGTCAGTTTTGCCATTTCAGCATATTCCATTAGTTTAACTTGCCAATCTTCTTTAGATGAGGCGCCTTCTTCTTTCCAGTGTTGGGCTAGTGAAGTCCGTGCGGCCTTGAGCCACTTGCCTTTCGATGAAGTTGGGAAATGATGAGGCTGCGCTTCGTCATGGCAGGCTTTTTTTGCTCTCTCGCTCTGCTCTTATTTTTACTGTGCTGAAGGTAGGTACAGATAGCTTGTTGAAATCCTGAAGCCCAAATAGCCTGATGAAGGCCTTTGGCTCCATTGCTTAGCTGTCAGGCTAGCTTTCCTCTTCCCATTCCCTCTCCTCCAGCCTTTTGTCACAAAGGGTGGGTTGGAGAGCCTGTGTAGTAGCTCCTAAATGCTTGCAGGCATTGGTAAGGAATATTTGCCCTCCTTGGTCTCCTGATGGAAGTGGTCAGAAAATGAAAGCTTCTGAAATGTGCAATTGAGGAGACAACCTCTTTCAGTAAGCATGGTTAGCTCTAGCTGGAGATGGGAAGGAGCCATCCCTACAAATTACATTGGGCATCCAAACACTGATCCGTCATAACTGAGAATGACTCCCAGCCTCCTCTCAACCTCCTAGCTGAAAAAGAGGGCTGTGGCTATATGTAATGAAATTACATTATTTTTAATTTGGTTTTTAATGCTGTAACCCCCACCTCAAACAATAGAACAGGGAATGATACTTGAGAACATGTATTTCAGAGGTTTAGCACATGAATAGGAATAAGGCTTTGGATGAGGGGGAGGCTTCTGGCAACCACCAATACTTGGCTGACTAGGAAAGCTGCCCAGAATTTGTGAACTACTAAGTGTTATGTCTTAGCTCTTGAATTTGTGCTTGCTAGCAGATTCTAAGGTAGCCCTTTGTGCTATCTTCAAGGAAATAGGATGGATATAATGCATATGGCTCAAATCAGAATTCAGTCCAAATTGTTGCATCATTGGCTTTTCTGGGCAGCTATCCCATGTTTTTATATGTGGTCCTAATTATTACTTGTAGAGTAATTGCAACTTAGATTATATTTTGCAACCTAGTTTTATATGAGGAACCATAAAAACTAAATATAATTGTAGGGTGGCATCCTCTTCTCTTCCGTATAAATCGTAGATAAGAAGTTCTGGGTTGGAAGGAAAGGGATCAACCCAGTAGCAAGTGATCCGCTGTAATACCGTATTTACTCAGATCTAATGCTCACCTTTTTTGGCCAAATTACATTGTGAAAATTAAGGCGCAACTGGATAGATTGTATCTCTGCTTTGTTATTAAAATAATAAACCATGCATAGTTGTAGAGAGAGCTCTTTATATAAGACTTCCCCTTGAAACATATCTGAGATAAAGAAAAAACCCCTGCACAGTTGTGCTGTGTCTCCCTTCTGGCCCTGAAATCATTAATCTGAAGTGGTACAATGAAGATGAGTCACAGCCTAGATTTCCCAAGTTCCTTTCCATTCTTGTTGTGATAGTAGCCACAGGTTCAGGTGAGTTTTGAATGTTTTATTGTGATAGACTGTATTATAATAAGTCCTCAATCCTAAACAGTGGGTAAAGCAAATTGAGCATAACGGGGCTTACTTTTCTGTAAACATGATTAGGATTGCTCTGTAAATGTTTTTGTTGAGTATTTATAGTCTTCTACCCAGAGCGGTTTATCACTCCCTTAATAAGGGAAGTCATAACCTACAGCCCAATGAAACGTGATCGCTATTAATTTTACCCTTTTATTTTGAGTAGGCATCTATGTACAAACAATCAAAAGCATCTATCTCGTATGCCTTTCTCTATTCCTGTTTCCTCTTCGAAGTGTAAAATAGCAGGAGTGCTTTGTTGCCAAGTCATCAGCTGTAGAAGTGTGTGTACAGTAAGATACCAGTTGAAATGCCCCGATTGTATACTATACATAGTTAGCATAGAATTTTTTAAATGTTAATTTTACGTAATGGAATTGGGTGTAAACTTTCCAAGAATCTAATATGCTGAGCTCCAAAGTTCATTAAAGCTTAGTAAACAATGATGGGGGGGGGGGACACCCTTGCTTAATTATTATTGTGGCTCGGCTTGTATTGGAACGCAAAGAGAGACAAGAACTATGTTGGCCTTGGTTACAGAGAACCACTGTTCTTTGACAGGCTTGTAGGCTTTGGCAGCCATGGAAATAGTGAACAGCTGCTCCAAGTAGATTGAAAAGGATTTGCATTTCAATTATCTCACCATGTGATTTTTACCTATTCTGGGAGGCAACAGTGAGTGTGATAGAAAAAGCTGAAGATTTTTTGGAGCAGAAAGAAGTAGATTATTTGCTAATTAAAAGTCACTGAATTTTAGTTTACAATATCTTAAGATGGAATACACTTAAAGGTGAGTTACTAGTCTTTTTATCTATAAGATAGAATAACATTGAAAACATTTCTTTTTGTTTTTTGTTTTGTTCTCAGGGCTGTATTCTTAAGTTTGTTGTTAATGTATAGTGGATGTCTAAAAGTGGGATTTTGTGTTCCTGCTGCAGTCCTCCCCCCTCCAAACAACAACAAAAAATGCAATTCAAGCTGTTAATTGAGTTTTAAAAATCCATCACAAAGCTCTTGGTTTTGTATTGATACTATATTTCTTCTTTAGTGACACTTCATGATTATCACTCAGTTTCTACTTTGAAAATGCACAGGAGTTGCTGAAAGCCCAAAATGGAGATTATCATGGAGATTACAGTGCAGACGGAAGCTACCTAGCCTAATCAAGTTGAAGCGGATAAAGACACTTATTTTCACTGTGACTGTGTAAGTAACAGCTAACATTAGAAAACATCTTTTACAGTTCACGGAATCTCAAATTGCAGGCTGGACGCACTTTACGTGTGCATCACCATATGTTAGTAATGAGAGCCGTGTATCAGGGCTGTGCACAGTGCCTACCCCCTCTGCCCCTGATCAGGCCAGTCTGCCCAGGAACCACCCCCAACCACCACATTACTTAGACAGTATATTTTGGAAAAAGAGCTTTTGTTTTTATTCTTTCTGTGCCCCATTATTAAAGATACTCTTGTGGTTAGCAGCTATATCTGGTTGAGTTTAAAAACTAAATACTAGGGATGGGGAAGATGTGAGCAGAGGGGGCAACGGACAGCTGTTGTTGCTAACAATGCAGTAAAAGTAACAGCTAGTTTGGCCCTGAGTCTGGAAACTTAGCTTTGCAGTTTCTGTTGTACTCATCCCTGAGAGGAACCTTCTGTTTTAAAGTTACAAACAGTGCCACATGAAAAGCATTAAAACGTGCAAATTAGTTAGTGCTACAGCATTGTGCTTCTAGCTTGGACAAAGATTTTCCCCATTATATTTTCTTGCTTTATATGCAGTTAGGTGCAGAGACGCGGGTGGCGCTGTGGTCTAAAACACAGAGCCTAGGGCTTGCCGATTGGAAGGTTTGCGGTTCGAATCCCTGTGACGGGGTGAGCTCCCGTTGCTCGGTACCTGCTCCTGCCCACCCAGCAGTTTGAAAGCACGTCAAAGTTCAAGTAGATAAATAGGTACTGCTCCGGCGGGAAGGTAAACGGCGTTTCCGTGCGCTGCTCTGGTTCGCCAGAAGCGGCTTAGTCATGCTGGCCACATGACCCAGAAGCTGTCTGCGGACAAACGCCGGCTCCCTCGGCCTATAGAGTGAGATGAGCACACAACCCCAGAGTCGTCCGCGACTGGACCTAATGGTTAGGGGTACCTTTTCCTTTTACAGTATTGTGCTTCTAGCTTGGACAAAGATTTTCCCCATTATATTGTCTTGTTTTATATGCAGTTAGGTGCAGTTTTGCTGAAAAAATACTTAGGGGCAGTTGCCCACCTACCTGGTAATCGTGTATTTGTGCTCATCCTGTCATTCTACTGCCTTTCCCCTGCTCTTTGAGATTAAAGGTCCATTGATGTTTTAACTACAGTAGATTAATGTCCTTCCCATTTTCTCACTTTGTTAAAGGGCTAGTCAGTATCTGATCTGGTGTCAAGCTATGAGTGCCAAACACATGGCTGTTTCTCCGCTGCCCCCAATCATTAAAAGACTTCTGGCTCTGGATTAAAAACTCCTGTGCATGTGTCCCTAAATCTAGAGACTGTTTCCCTTTAATGCTGAGCATGTATAACTGATGAAGTCTGTTGTCTATTCTTTTAAGAGCTAGGCACGTGTAGCCTCCATGGCATGGCCCTCTTGTTTAAAACCACAAGCTTATCAGAGCTCTTATCAGTAAAAGCTGAATTAACAAAATAGGCTTAATATTGTTAATTGTTTCCTTCATTTACATACAGTACAGTGTGAGTTTTAATGAAAATGGAGCCCGATCAAGAAACAATTTCACGTCTCCGACGTCAGCTCAAAGAAGCCGAGGAGGAAAGAAGAAAGGCAGCACAATATGGTTTAGATCTGGTGGAGAGCGAGAGCTTGTTACAGAATCAGCTAGATAAATTGCAGAATGAAATAGTCACCATAACGGAGGTGAGCTTTTAAACAATCAACAGAAAGTTGCTCTCCCTGGATTGATTCCACTCTACCTACTGATGGGAGCATGAATGCCAAAGCTGTTAGCCATTAAATTTAAAATATTTAACATGTAAGAAGAGTATCTAGCAAACTGTGTCAGAGCTTGATAGCGAACCATAAAATCCAATCCTCTCATAGTGCTACTGTACCTATAAGATAATTGAAAGAGCGGCCAACATGTTGCTAGAGTGGAAGCCTCATTAAACCCAGACTTCTCAGACCTATTTCTGGATCAATGTGTACAGAATGCCTATTGCAAAAACTTCCAGGTTTGCCAAAGCCTTTTAGTAGTACCTCAACAACAAACGTGACTTCAGGTTGTTGTTTTTTTTAAGAAAAACAAGCTGTACCCTAAACTGCTATTTAGCATGAAGTGGACAAAATATGGTACTGGATGAGAAGCATTAGCAATCTGGTACTACTGAGAGCTGCTTGGGACCCCCAATGATATGTGCAGGGTAGTTCAGAAGGTCATTTGGCTCTGCCTAAATCTGTTTTAAGAGGATTCACAGGACACAGCACTATGTGTACTAAACAAAACATGGAAGTTTATGAAATCAGATACTGTACAAATTATCAACTGCTACAAAATATTCTTGCTCTTAAAAGAGTTTGGCTACAGGTCGATGCACTTTGGGAGGAAGTAAATAGGACTCGCTTCTGTGTAAACATGCATGGGAAACGTGCTGCTGGGGTGGGGGGAGAAAGATGGAAGCCAAGTAATGGAAATATCTCTCCTGCTCACCTGTATTTTACTCACTACCTTACTGTCATGTATAGGATTAAGCAAGTCTGTTAATGACACAGTAGCTATGAGACGTGCTCTGACAATTTTCTGCCTGCTAAAGCTAAAGGCAGCACATACTGCCTGTGGTGAGGCATGCTTGTGAAGAGGTAGGCAGCATAAGATGTGTACAGCAACAAAGTTTAGTTTTTGAAGTCCCTCTTTCGTTATCTGCTGTTGGGAGAAAGGAGCACAAGCTTCCCATAAGCCTAGTTCCTGATGTTTGGTTGGGGTAGCTGTGTGTGCATGGGTGGGTGGACAAGAAGGAAGACCAGTCTTCCACGTTTGCATGTCTCATAGGCCATCACAGGGGCATATGAAACTCTTCATAACTTAATACCTTGTCTCACATAAAATAAGCCTGATTTTTTAAAAAGCAATCCCTGCCACATGATGAAAACTGTACCTCATCTGCCTGCATCTGGGTGCACTGTGTTTGTGGTGCTTTGTGCATGCTCTTGGACCTCAGGTGATCTCTTTTGGTGGGTGAAATAGAAAAGAAGGCTTGGGAAACCCAAGTGTGTACAGGGACCTTTCCATCCTTGCTAAGGCCTATACTTTTGACCACATACTTAATGGAAGGTCCTTTTAAAAACAGTTTTCTATCCTGCATTGTAAATGTGAAATTTATTTTTCAGAATTTTGAACAAGAAAAATATACTCTCCAGAGAGAAGTAGAACTAAAGAACAGAATGCTAGAAAGTATGAACCTTGAATGTGAAACACTTAAGCAACACCAAAATATACAATTAGATACACTACGTGAACAACTAGTAAGAATGCATGGACAAGAAACAAATGAACTTAGGAATAAGGTTGGTGATAGAATACGTATTATGTGCAGCAGGTGATACCTTAAAGCAATTATTAATGCCTATCTTGAAAGTGTTATAAACATAATTCAGTTGCTGACAAAGCTGTTTTGAATAGATGAGTGATAAAGAGCCACTTATTAAACGTGGTAATTAGCCACTTATAAGTGTATGATTACATAGTGTATGATAGAATTATGGTATTTTTGTTTGGGATTCTGAACAATGTTTTTCTAATGACAGCATATATCATAATCTTAAAATCCTATGTAGTTCGGATGTGCTTGAGTTGGGCAAATACTGAGGAAGGGATGGCTTCCTTATCATATATTGATAGGATATTGATGGGAATGGGAGACCTCCTGGGAACCGTATGCATGCTGCCTTCAGTTCCATGATGGAAGAGAGTGGATATAAATGTAATAAATAATGAATTTCTTAAGCTGTTTAGAAAAATCAGCTCACAAATGGGTAGAGGGACATGCTTAAAGGACTCTGAACTCAAAAGGTGTTTTCTCTGGGTGTTGTTTTGAAGATGGAAAAACTGAAATCTGAACTAGAAGAAACGCTTCTTAGTGAGAAACAGTCGAAACACAAAGTGGACCATCTGAAGGAGGTCCTTGCTTCTAAAACAGAAGAACTGCGCATGATGTCAGAGCGTGTACATGAAACCATGTCTTCAGAAGTGCTCAATCTTCAACTTGAGCTGGTGGCACTTGAGCAGGCAAAGGTATGCAGCAAATTAGTGTGAATAAAGTATTTAATAATAATAAACCACAGATAAAATCACCCTTCCTGCTATAGAAATTTGATCATGGTCTAATATCCTTAAAAGCACTAGTACTAATATTCATCTCTGCTTCAGGTTGCAGTCCTTGCCTTGTACAAATAATTGAAAAGGCAAAATAGGATTCCAGAATATACAATTAGCAAGTAAATTACTCATATGGTATCTAAATTTTGTGATAGGCAGACCTTGAGGACAGGTTACATGATCTTCAGTACAGCAAGGAGCAACTAGAACTTGGAAACAGCAATCTGACTAATCGACTGGCACGTCTCGAAGAGGAGAGAGAAGACAGAGAAAAAGATATTGTTTCATACTGTAACGCGTTAGAGGTGACGTATCATGCTTCCTATTGATAGCGATGGTGAAAATAACACTACACATTTAATGCTGAAACAGCGAGCTTGTTTTCTAACCAAGGCTATTTGGATAGTTTTAGCTGAAATATTGCCTGACACCAGGTTGACTATTTGACATTGTATGGGTGCAGTAACATTCAAATGCTGTTTGCAGTGGTGAGAAGCCTCTTGTGGCTTTGCATTCATGAAGGTGTGGAAGTCGTGTCAGTTTTTCTTTCATTTTCCTTAGATGTGACTTAAGAGCAGGCTCTTTGGGTGTGCCTTTGCAGTGGTGGTGACAGATTTATTGCATTAACTATTAAACAACACAACAGTGATCCTGAAAGTGAACTCCACAAATCAAGAAGAGCATGTGTTACACTACAACACAAATTTAGTTGTGAAAATGTAAGAGAGATCTAACTATTTTCCTTGACTCAATTTTAGAAAGCTCATGAAGTAAATAGAGACCTTCAGCTTCAGCTTGACCATGCACGGCAAGAAGCCCTGGATCCTTCCAGTAAAGGCAATTCCTTATTCGCTGAGGTACTCATCTTGTTTTTGTTAACAGAAAATGTATGTGTGGGCCATTCTTATGACACTTGGAATCAAAGGGTTGTTGGCTGTGGGGGGTGAGGGAGGGGTATTTCGTTTTATTTCAGTTTATTTCTTATAGTGGTTCTGTGTATGTTAGTTTGCAGGGTGAGGGAAGTATAATAGTGTAATGCAACTGTATCAGCATACTTTATTCAATACAGTAATAACTTTCCTTGATTATATATTTACTTATTCTCGAAAACCTAATAAGATTATTTTTTTAAAAAGACAGGAAGATTTTTGTCAAAGATTTTTAGAAAGTGTGTTTCTAGTTATACAGGCGTCTTGCATTTGCTCACGTCAAAGGCTGACCAATGTATTTGGATCATTTGTTCAATTTAAAGTCAGAATAATACTTGGAACAAATATTTTAGTTCACTATACTTTACAGTTATTGAGCTTAATGTCTTTTCATAGTAGAAATACTTCAAGACGACCATGTCATTCCAAAAATCTTCTGGATTGGTTGAAGTAGTTCTGTTGAAGTGTTTCTGCATGTTGAATTGGTGTGCCAAGTGCCTGCAGGTTGGGCATGCTGATTCCTGTTAGTCTGAACAGTCCAGGGCCATAAATACAGGTAGCACAACAGCAGTAATTCAGAACACCTAGTAAGGAAATATGTTATAGTTTATAATTATTGTGTAATGTTTTAATTCTGACTATCGGTCGAATAAAGAAATTGATTGATTGAGTAAGGAAATAACTCTTTGAGTTGTGTCCTGTCCAACTCCCAGAGCTGGATCTGCAGGAAGCACTATCTGAAAGAAAGAATTAGAACATCATGGATGGATGCTTTATTATTATTATTATTATCGGCTGAGTCAGTGTGTATTGCTCTAACAAATATTGGTGCTTAATTGAAGGGTTGAACTTTTATGCCTGAGTGCATGAAATCTTTGTGGTGGTGGTAATATATAACTACTTAATGACTTTACATATATTAAATATAAAGTATTCCTTCAAATGCTTGTAGAAATGTTTCTGCCAGGTTTCATGGCAACTAATTATTTTGCTACTACAGTGGTACCTCGGGTTAAGTACTTAATTCGTTCCGGAGGTCCGTTCTTAACCTGAAACTGTTCTTAGCCTGAAGCACCACTTTATCTAATGGGGCCTCCTGCTGCTGCCATGCCGCCGGAGCAAAATTTCTGTTCTCATCCTGAAGCAAAGTTCTTAACTCGAGGTAATATTTCTGGGTTAGTGGAGTCTGTAACCTGAAGTGTATGTAACCTGAAGTGTCTGTAACCCGAGGTACCACTGTAATCTGGCCAGTACTTCATGCAAATGGTACAGATGTTTCTGTTGACATGGTGGTTAATAAAGCAAAGATATCTAATGACACTAACATACAAGATGGTGTGAAAGACAAATTACTATGGTTTCATTACTATTAGTTTCTAAAGTATAAAATTTTAAATACCGGAACCAACTTTACAGGTTTTTTTTCTTAATGTGTTGTA